CCATCTTTGCTAAATACACTTAACCTCAACAAATAATTATTTGTGATTTGATTTTCCAATGTTTTATATGTGGTGATGAGACTAAACATCCCATTTTTTCCCCATGCAGCCTGCAGAGACATGAAAGCTGACATCATGTTTCTGGTGGATAGTTCTGGAAGTATAGGACCTGAAAACTTCAGTAAAATGAAGATGTTCATGAAGAACCTTGTGAGCAAATCTCAGATTGGGGCAGACCGGGTGCAAATCGGTGTAGTCCAGTTCAGCCATGAAAACAAGGAGTTTTGCCTCAACACATTCACGTCCCAAAGTGACATTTCAAGTGCTATAGACCGAATGGCTCACATTGGAGAAACAACCTTGACAGGCAGTGCCCTCACCTTTGTGTCCCAATACTTCAGCCCAGACAAGGGGGCCCGACCCAATGTCAGGAAGTTCCTCATCCTCATCACAGATGGTGAGGCTCAGGACATAGTAAGGGACCCAGCTTTAGCACTTCGGCAACAAGGTGTGATTATCTACTCCGTGGGGGTATTTGGTTCCAATGTCACCCAGCTTGAAGAGATCAGTGGGAAACCAGAGATGGTTTTCTATGTTGAGAACTTTGACATTCTGCAGCATATTGAAGATGACCTCGTTCTGGGAATATGTAGTCCCTGTGAAGGTAAGCGTGGGCCTAGTCAAAAGGAGAAGGCAGTTCAAATACTCACTGTTGCTTGAATTAGACTTGTATGTGAATGCTATGAATTTATTAATTGGAATGTGTATGTTTAGTGTCTTTGACATGTTGAGTTAAATAGACAGCAAGAGTTGGGTATGGTGGTTCATGCCTGTACTCAAACTGAGATAAGAGTATTACCATGAGTTCAAGGCCATCCTGGGCTACATAGTGAGTTTCAGGCTAACTTAGACTACAGAATGAGACCCTGGCTTAACCTCACCCCCTCTGAAAAAAAATAAATAATTGAAAGAGGACCAATTTTGGTCTTCCTAGACACATTCTCACTTACAGACAAATCGCCATAAGGTGATTAATTGTTCCTTTAAGAAAGGTGGTGTCACACCAGGTCTTATATCAGGCTGTCTAGAAGGAGAGGATGAGTCAAGAGTTCTTGTGGAAGTGATTCATTGAGGAAGTGTGTTCAGGAGGGGAAGAAGGAAAATAAGACAGGGAAGAGGTAGGAGCCAAGTAAGGAAGTCACTTCAGCCGAGAGTCTAGTTTCAGACTAATCCACGGGCAACTTTAGAGTCCAAGTTCCACCAGAGTTGGTCCTGCTTTAAAATGAGGTGCCTAACCATGTGTCCCCTGTGTCATCATATAACATGTGGGTGCTAAGCAGGTGGTAAAGGGACATATCCTCCTGGGCTGAAAGACTCAAGTTTGGCTCAGCATCTCTATGCATAGGGTTTTTTTTTTTTTTTTAAATTTCTGGAGACGATACCTGATCAAGTGAAACATTTGTAAAAACACTTTGATATCTATTAGATCTTATAAGTAATGACTATTGTAAGGCACTTGAACAATGGATGCTTCAATAGAAAGAAATGGCATATTCCCCTCTTCTTATGATACACAGAGTAATGGAAGTGACCAAACAAAAGCTCTGTGCTGTAGATACAGCTCAGTGGTAGACACTCACCTGGCATTCTCAAGGCCCTGCTCTGATTTCTAGCATTCACTCCACCAAAAAAAAAGCCACAGAAGACCAGCAAATTTAAGTGGCTAGGTTATACTGTGATCCCTGGGCTTAATGCCCAGAAGCATTCTGAAAAATCCCCTTGACTTAGATGCATCTTAATGGAACTTTAAGAAAGGAGATGAACATTGTTTTATAATTCTAGTAACAGTTCGGTTCAACTCCCAGGCTAGGGTTTGATGGTTTATGTTTGTAGAAAGAAGAGTACACCTGATTTCTGTTCCTAGGTAATTTCACCCATAACAAGTATCAGCTCTTTGAAGGGTTCCAATGCTGAACAATCTTCCCCCAAGTCCCCTGAGTCCACTAAATAATCCAAGCAAACTTCCCAGACAACAGAAGGCCAGAGGGAACCAGTTCTTCTTTATTGGAGTCAGTCTTTCTTTGGGAATTTGGTTTATGGCTGTGTATTCATGGCCTCCAGGCAGTGGTTGACTTTTGGGCTTTCAGGAGCCCTCCACATGGCTGGCAAGTGTCTCACAAAAGAAGGAAACGGGAAAGCCTGCGGGCAGAGGGAGCACTTTCTCACAGCTTCGTTTCTCAGGAATGCGTGAGCTAACATGTGGGTCATACTTTCCTGTGACCTGGAGAGACTGTCCTACTGACATGAAGACTAAATGGCTAACTGTCTCAAGATTCCACTTCTCCAGAACGGATGAGCTGAGCCTTTAGAACTCAGGATGGATGAGTTCCTTCAGATGGAGCAGCACCACAGGAACTAACTGGGTCCTTCCTGTTCTGCTTTTCCACAGCACTGACCTCAGGTTTAATGGGACCCAGGAATGAAAATAGGTATTTCAAGAAAGTCAAAAAAGAAGAAAAAAACAGTCAACGTAGAGAACCATGACAAAAACATAGTATTGCCAAATTCTTTTGGTTTTGGTCATTTCACCATGGCTTATCTTAAGAAAAATCTCTAGATCCTTATAACTTAAAAACAAATTTGTATAAACGAAAGCACATGTGGAAGGAAACACTTAAATGAGAAAATTTATACTGAATCATGATTTTCCTTTTTTAGTCTAAAGGGTGAAATTTTATTCTTGATGGTCCTGTAATTGCTACACTATCTGGCCATCTTCCCTCTCTGAAGTAGGTTCCACCCATCCCTGCTTTGTCCTAAAGGCTCCCCTGAGTATCACTAGGTACTGGCAGCACAAATGTAAACATAGCTCTGTTATCTGAGAGTTGATAATCATATAGCATGGTGTGGTTCCATGGAGAGAAAGCACCAGTCATTTCAAAAGAAACTGGAGGATCTCCCACACTGTCTACAGCTCATCTCACGCGGTTTCCCTTCCTCTCCCTCTTCCAGAATGCAAGCGGATTGAAGTTTTGGATGTTGTGTTTGTCATCGATAGTTCTGGAAGCATTGACTCTCAAGAATATAACATTATGAAGGACTTTATGATTGGCCTAGTGAAAAAAGCTGATGTGGGCAAGAATCAGGTCCGGTTTGGAGCGCTTAAGTATGCTGATGACCCGGAAGTGTTGTTTTATCTAAAGGACCATGACACAAAATCGAATGTGATTAACGTGCTGGAGAGGGACCAGCCCATGGGCGGTAATACTTACACTGCGGAGGCTCTAGCCTTTTCAGACCACATGTTCACCGAAGCCCAGGGCAGCCGCCTGCACAAGGGCGTCCCCCAAGTCCTCATTGTGATCACAGATGGGGAATCTCATGATTCAGAGAAGCTCAACGCCACTGCCAAGGCCTTGCGGGACAAAGGCATTGTAGTCCTAGCTGTGGGGATTGCTGGCGCCAATACCTGGGAGCTGTTAGCCATGGCGGGGTCAAGTGACAAGTACTACTTCGTGGAGACTTTTGGAGGCCTGAAGGGGATATTTTCCGATGTGTCAGCCAGTGTCTGAAACTCTTCAAAAGTGGGTAAGTCTTGTCAGTTAAGCTTTTCCTAATTGTTGGCAGAGGGTCTTATGAGTGAGATGCCTATGTGGTGGTGCTGGGGGCACCAGTTGTCTTGGGAAGAGAGAAGGAACCAAAATTATTTCATAGGCCTTCCCCCTTCATGGACTCTCAGAGTTGGAAAGATCCTCAACCATATTTCGCTCATGCTCCTCCGCAAGAGAAACACATTCAAAAACACTTCTCACTTCCCGACAGCTTCTAACAATAGGAAATCGCTGGTTTTGAAAGACGTTTTTTTTGAGCATACATGTGCTCATATGTTTTTCCACCCACTCGTCCTTCTTTCTAAGAAATCAAATTCTATTTCCTCCTAAGGGCCAGCACGCATTGCCTGAAGCCATCTCTCCCTCCTCCAGGTTAAGCATCCCTAGTTTCTTCCTATTTCTGTCATGCTACAAGTTCTCTGGATTTGCAGAGCCCAGTATTAAACACTCTGGTCCATCCTCAGAAGGTTCCTGGACAGAGGACAGTGGGGTTTTCTTTGCCCTGGATGGCATCTTTCTGCTTTGGCTGCTGTAAGTCTCTCTCTGTCTTTCTCTCTCTGTCTATATCTCTGTCTCTGTCTGTCTGTCTCTCTCTCTGTCTGTTCACTCTTTCGTTGTTCCTTCATTCAACTGCTGTTCTGCACTTTTAGGTCAGAGTGAGACTGTACTCTTCCTAGGCATGGGTGCATACCTGCAGCTGCAGTATTCGGGAGGCTAAGGCAATTTGAGGCCATCCTGGACTACACAGTTCAGTCTAGGTTATGCTCGCTATAAAGTGTAACTCTGTCTCAAAAAAAGAAAAAGGAAGAAAGGAAGTTCTTATTTTTTCCCCCAAGATGCAGTATACCAAAACCCACTATTTTTATTAGATGAATTGCTTGGTCCGCAGAGCCAACATGTTGATGCAGCTCTTTTTCAGTCATTCCAGCTTTTCCGGTTGTGTGTGCCTTGCTTCCTTAGACTGTAGCTGCTAATTTTTTCATTGACAAACTGCATTAGTCACTTTTCTGTTGCTGTGATAGAAACACTGACCCAAACAATTTATAGAAGGAAGAGTTTATTTGAGCTTAGGGTTCCAGGGGAATTACAGTCTGTCGCAGCAGGGAGGCATGGTGGCTGGAGGTGTCTAGAGCAGGAGCAGCAGAAGTGAAGCTCTCACATCATCACGCAGGCCCCGGAAACCAGAGAGGGACTAGAGATGGGGCAAAGTTTAAGAGCTCTCTAAGCCCACCCCCAGTGATGTGCTTCCTCCAGGACAGTCACACCTTCTAAAACCTCCCAAAACAGCACCATCATCTGGGGACAAAATGTCCAAATACTTGGAGCCTATGGGGGACATTTTCATTCGAACCACCACACAAACTAACAACCTTTCTGTTTCTTATTGGAGCTAGGGCATATCTTTCCTTGTTGGTGAATGCCTAAAATTTTATCTGTCCTCAGGTTCTCTATGAAAGTTGACATTGCATTTTTGTACTGAAAAGTCTCCATTAAGCAAGGAAAGGGTGCTTGATTTGAACCTGAAACAAAGAACTGTAACAAGTCAACCAGTTCCCTGGAGGATCAATCTATTAGCTATATTTCCTTTTATCTCTTCCTCACTTACCTGGACTGTGGGAATCTGACACCTTCAAACTTTTCTGGGATTACATCAACAACTAATTAACTTGGGGACTGAGGAGATGGCTCAGTGAGTAAAAATACTTGATGTGCAGGCTTGAGAACCTGAGTTCAAATCCCCAGCACCCAAGTGAAAAGCCAGATCTACCTGCAGCTGCAGTTCTGGTGGGGAGGAGGGCAGAGATGGGAGAACCCAGGAGGATCAATAGGCCTGGCTGGCTGCCAGCCTAGTTCCAGTTTTAGGGAGAGACCCTGTCTTAAAGGAAGAAGACGACAGAGATGTTAAAGCAAGACACCTCATGTCTTCCTCTGGCTTCCCAGCATGGGTGTGTGTACAGTCCCCTCCACACACATGCATGCTCATATACACCACACACATATACACACACACACACGCACACACACACATACATATGCACATGAAAAGAAAAACTAAAATGAAAAAGGGAATTAAGTTGGGTCAATGCTTGGGAACACTGGAAATTCAAGAAAGTGACAGTGTTTACCAGGAAGCTTAGGGGACACAGCCGAGTATGTGGCAGGCATCACTCATCCACTGGCAATGGCCTCTCTTGTTCTGTTTGTCTTGTATTTGCTATGATAAAACAATGGATGAACTATCTGACCATATTGCATTATGTGCGCACAAACATTTTTCTTAAAGCAGATATGTTTGCCTACACACATCAGAAAGGAGGCTGGTAGAAGAGGAAGGTCAGTCAGATAGAGACTGGAGAGCATGCTTTGAAATCTTCCTTTCAGTTTGCCCTCATACATCAAAAAATATATTGGCCCAACTGGACCAGAGAGGCCAAGTCAGTAATGCAAACCATCTGTTTCTAGTTGAATCCCTAAATGGATGTGTTAGGTTGCTTGCTAGGCTACTACTGTCCCTGGGCCTTCTAGAAGGTTAAGAGGAGATTGTAGATAAGAAAAGCTTTATATGGTCAGTCCCTCTGGCATCTCAAAAAAGAAAATGGTGTAAGAGCAAACAGGCAAGCCAAGAGAAACAGGAGTGTGTGAGTGGCGCCTTCACGAAGGGCTTGCTTGTATTTGCTACCTCTCCAATTAGCGTGATGGCAGAGTAGCATGTGATAAGAAACTGCTTTCAGAAATGCTATTTCTGTATAGATGCAGATGTTTAATTTACTCCTGTGGGGTTAAGGAAGGAGTACTCATCTGGTCTCATCATTGTTTCCTTTCCTCTTTGCAGATTGTGACATTGAGAAAGTAGACCTTGTTTTCCTCATGGATGGTTCAAACAGCATCCACCCAAACGACTTCACGAAGATGAAAGAATTCTTGGCATCTGTTGTTCAAGATTTTGATGTCAGCCTCAACCGAGTGTGCATAGGAGTGGCTCAGTTCAGTGACACCTACAAATCAGAGTTTCTGCTGGGAGCTTTCACTGGGGAGAGGGAAATATCCATGAAAATTGAGAGCATCCCGCAGATCTTCGGATACACCCACATTGGTGATGCCCTCCGTAAGGTGGGGCACTACTTCCAGCCAGAGACAGGCAGCAGGATAAATGCAGGTACCCCTCAAGTGCTTCTGGTCCTCACAGATGGTCGTTCCCAAGATGAAGTGGCTCAGGCTGCTGAAGAGCTGAGGCACAGAGGTGTAGACATCTACTCAGTGGGCATCGGGGACGTGGATGAGCAACAGCTGATCCAGATCACAGGGACGGCAGAGAAAAAACTGACGGTCCATAATTTTGACGAACTGAAGAAGGTCAAGAAAAGGATCGTTCGCAACATCTGTACCACAGGGGGTGAGAGCAGTAAGTACTGGCTGAGTGCTTTGCTTCAACTTCCCCCTCTGTTGTCACTGACGTTCTCCTTCAGCCCTGTTTACCTCCTGTGGGGCTGCTGGGAGAATTTAGATGTGTGCCTCTGGATTTCAGTTGGGACTTTTTCACAGTTATCATATATATATATTTCTGAGCTGTAGAATGAGAAACAGGTTGTAGTGTCCTTGTGTCTTTTTTTTTTCCTCACTCCAGATGGGAGC